ATTTATTCATATTCACGTATTTCAATTACATTTAAAAATACTCACGTATTTTCAATAACATTTTCAGAACTTATAAATGCTATCTAATTGATTAATAATGAGGCGTGTGTGAAGGATGTGCTTGTTTCTTGTTAACCTTTCTCATCTTCATGTCATTGTGAAGTTGGATTTTCAGCAATGGTAGGAATCAAAAACAAATTCCGAAATAAACTTCAATTGTCAAATTCCTTACGCCTGAAACTAACCCACATTGATGTTGATGTCAAAGCCATTCTTGACAGAGAAGTACCTTCAAAGCTTCAGTGGAAAGGATTGGGTACGGTTTTCGAACAGACACCCAGAACTGTATCAGTTTTCTGCTGTTAAAGTTCATTTCTAACGAAGCGTCCTCAGATAAATCAAAAAGTTCTTCCTCAGCTTTTGTCGATATCCCACTCGTTATGTCAGGCTGAATAGGGTTCATAATCCATTTTTTCTCTTTTTTGTGTTTTGACATAAGTATCAACAGTCTTAAAAATATCATCGCTAGTACTTCGACTGACTGGTTCATAGCACAACATATCTTCATGAGGTTCGGAGTTCCATATATAACGCACAAAAACAAGTAGCTGGCACAGACCTTGTACGTCAGTAGATTCATCTAGTTGTAAGGAGAAAATTTTACTTTCACGAACTCTTTGAATTAGCTGATTTTCTATCCATCGATCCTACGCGTGACCGTGTTATTAGAAATAGGAATTGTTTCAATTTCTTGTTCACTCTTATCACCAAAGAAAACTTTAACTGTATCTTTTATAGCTGGAAGAACTAAAGTCTCTCCAAGTGTATGTGGCTTACCAGCTTTCGCGATTCTCAAACTGATCAGGTAGGACACGTACAAAGATTTTTCATTAACTTTGGTGTAACGTTGCATAATGCTCTGTCCTGTCTTCAACTTGCTTAGCATCCTTTCAAAAAATTCGAGGGGTTGGTCTTTCAACTTGGGATGCTTCGTCTCAATATGGCGACGCAATTTGTTTGGGTGCACGCTCTCATTTGCAAGTTGATCACAACAAATAATACATCGTGGTCGTGGATTTTCTTCATCTCCATTCCATGTAAATCCCATTTCTAAGTACTTGGAATCATACTTTATCACCACTTTTCTTCGTTTTGATTCACTGAAGACTCATTGTCGTCAACTTCAACTGACTTCTTTAACCATTACACGAAGAGCTGAGTAAATTATAAAAAAAAATCGGATTCAAAATCTGAAGTAAAACAGACAATTTCGACTTGCCACTCGATTTGACACAATTAAAACACTGGTTGGCGTAGGATCACGCGCATGCCAAAACGCTTCACACCGTCTATTCCAGTCATTTCATTGGCTGACACGACGCTCGCGCGACTGCCTCGTGAAGCAGTTATCGTCTCGCTCAGCGTTGTATCGGTTTTATCAGTTGATTGCAGAATCTGAACAATGGATTGTAGATTTCTATCGTTTGAATGCAGATATCTAACTTTTGATTGCAGAATTTTAACTTTTGATTATCAATATCTATATAAATCAAAAGTTAAAATTCTGTAACCAAAGGTTAGATATCTACTTACAAAGGATATCTAGAAATAAAAAAAGAAATAGCACAGGCGTAGGAGCCGGGGGTGCATTATATCTACATATAATCAAAGGATACCTAGAAATATAAAAAAACTATAGATATCTATAATCAAAAGTTAAAATTCTGCAATCAACTGATAAAACTGGTACTATAGCTAAAGTACTGTATGAATACGTAAAAATTGATTTCCTCTTTACGATGACGAATGATTAAATTGAGAGCATGATCAACCCTGATTCGTTAATCTCGTCAAAACAACATACTGCTTGGTACAACAACAGCCTGGTAATGAAAGCCCGAGTCTTGAACTATCTCGACAGAGAGCATTTAATCGAAGCTAATGCGTAATTCTAGTATACTTTTATGACCCACTAACATTCCGCTTGCGACCCATAGTTTGGGAAACGCTGCTTTATATTATATACAGTCCATAATTCTGTTATTGTTTTATCAATTTTATTGTTAAATCTGGCATTAAACCTATGCTTCATGTTTCTTGTCTCACCTAATCTGGCATGCCTTATAGTGTTGTTCATGTGGAACCTGGAAACCAGGCACATGGCCCATAAACGGAACAGTACTCAACCATTATATATTCTTGTCTATGTGCAGGTGCCAGGATTTTATTTTTATATTCATATAATGGCATAGAAGTCTGCAAGTTGGCTTTAGCAGAAAGATAATTTTATTAGACATGGAGTGCCAATTAATTTCCCTTTGGTAATTCTGAAGTCAGTGATGGCAGTTTTTCTTTTTGTTAGACAAGATCAAGTTTCACTTAGCTGAACCATTTTACTTCCTTAAACCAACTTGTGTTGTTTTTATTGACCAGAGTAGAAGATGCCTTTTGTTTTCATCAAGAATAGAGCTGGAGGATTTTGCAAGTATTCCAATAACCATACAGTTCATCAATGCCAACAATCCTTGAACTTCTGTGCTGAAGGATATCTGGACCATCCTCTCACAGTTCCCATTTCTGGCTCGTCATGCTATCTGATGACAAAGCTGAAGGATCCAAGTAACATTTTGGTATCCGATACTTCTATTAACATAATCTTCACTGACCAGATAAGTATAAATCTCCCAGAAAATATCAACTTCAAAATTATGATTCCCTTGTATCACTCCCATTGAGGCTACTAAATTTACTGAGGCCTAGGTGTTTGTTCTTAAATAGAAACACTACTGCCAGGGTGAGATACAGAATAATGATTCCAGGGCAGCAACAGAGCTCCACAAGACTCAGGAGAAGATCCCAGCCTGAGCCAAATACTTCATTTAATGCACATCAATGCTCTTTTCCAGTCCTGAAGGACCTGCTCAACATTATTTGAAGCTGTTGAAATCTTGCAAAAGTAAATATGTATATTCTAGATATTATATATAAATAATTAAAAAACTAAATGCAATGAATGGATTCAGGACAACAGTTTCCAGTCTGAGTAATGTATACATTGCTGAAGTACACTTAATTTCCACATTGTTCTGTGCATATTAATACATAAGATTTTTGCTAAAGGTTTATTTTGGATTGAGGGGTATTATCTTATATGGAAATAAAGGTACATACGTATATTGCATAAAGGATTTGCTGATATTTAGAACATGATTTCACTTAGTTTTACATAGCATTTTTGTTAAATCCTTGTACAATAAAACATTTATGTATTTTTGTGATATGTATTGAAAGGATCTTTGGTTTTGTGCCTATTTGTCTTGGAGCATGATATCTAGCCATTGACATAAATAAAAAATTATTTTTCCAAATTTAGCAACGTTTGTTGTTAAACACAAACTACACAATGAGCTTACCTTTGCTGTGCCCTCTACAAATACTGAAATCCAGTTGTTAGCAGTGCGAGCCTTAGACTTAACGTTGAGCCACCGAGAGGTTCCAAGTTTAACAAAAGCTATCCATTGTATATTATCATAGACTTAGTTTATTTTGTACCTCTGATTTTGTGAAAGGTTTTTCTGTTCTATGATAACTCTTTAGTTAGCTACTTATGTGACAGTCAATGTCATCTGTTATATCGTGACATCTTACATATATATGTAGCCAGTCAGTTCAGCATGTTTCTATGTCACACATATCACAATACTCTGTCCACTCTAACTTATACAATTTATTTGGATTACACTGTAATTTTAATGTTTCATTCAAATTTCAAGTTGGATAGAAGTAATCTTAAGATACAGGAGAAGGAATTGTGCTATTCAATTATCACATATCCCATTCTTTCATGGTTTATGTATTTAGTATGGTATCAAACTTTTTTAATTTTGCTAAAGTTCTAGTTCAGAGCCAAGAAAATCTATTCTAAGTTGTTCACAAAAATAGTCTCAGGTGTCAACTTCTATGGTGATGTATATACTACACTGAAAGGACCAGGATTTTCAGAATGCGGAGGCATAACTTAGTGTGGCAGGGAAAAAGATTGTAGAAAGCAGTCACATGCCTCTGGCCCCAAAGACAATCTTAGACGTTTTTTTTTGTTGTTGTTGAGGGAGAGGTGTGTACATCAGCTACACCCACTAATGTGTGTATGTATGAAGTTATTTTATGGCTATTAAATGTGATGGGAAACACCAACAACTTTGTAGAAATCTGTGTGTGATTGGTCAGCTACAATGTGTACTGAAAGTTTAAGACTTCTCAGAGGTCTCTCTATTTTGAAAGCATAATGATTGTTTCTGCTTCTTGGTATTTCAGCCAAATGTGATGAAAATTGTTTCTTTTTAAAGTTCCCAGTTTGATTATTTAGATTAGATTATTAGGATTTTGTTTTATAATTAATTCAGGTTCAGTTTCTATGACTTAGATCCAGTGTTTCTGTAAAGTGTCAAATTATTAAAAAAAAACTAATTCAATTTTATTTAAATTTGTAATGCATAAAAATTGATCTTACATACTGAAATCATTAGGAAGGAAAGTTTTTTTTTTGTAGGAATAACTAACTGTAAAAACAAATTTTATTATGATTTTGGACTCAGTGAAAAAGTAAATGAAATAATTTCTCACAATTCAAATTTGTTATTATTTTTCTAAAGTAACAAATCTACACTGAATACCTAAACATTTGTTTAACAAAACAAGAACCGATTTATATGATCCACAAAAATTTGAGCCGTGAACACAAACAAACAAAATTATGTCCCACTGTAAATTACACTAGTTAGAAAAGTGATGGATGATGACATATGCAAAACGTCTTTACACTTTGAATATGAACTATGAGTATAGAAAGGGTTGTGCAGGTACAAGTCATAATAACCATTATCCAAAAATACTGAAAAGTATGCTGTATAATGAAACTAGATGAATAATAATGATAACATGCAAACAATACAAGTAAACATAAAACAGTTGTTGTGCATGTAAAATGCCTAAGTTGTTTTCTGAGATCCTTTCTTGCCAATAAGGGACTTGTGGATATGGGGAATAACACCTGGAAAAAACAAACAAAAAACATTATTATGAGCACAACTAATTTCAATTACATTCATTCTTAATTTGTCAGATTGAATATTCTACACATAAGAAAATATTTTCTTTTAAAAGAATTAGTTGTCTTTTTAAGGCTAAGTGTTTTAATTATTTTAATTGTTACTTTATTGAATTCTAAATGTTTTGCAATACTAAGTTTGCTAGCTATGCAGTTTTCAGTATTTTCTACTAGTCAAGATAATTCAACATTGTAATTAAAACTGAAATAGAACAAATTTAGGTATATATTAAAGACAATGATGGTGCCATATATCAAATTTAATGTAAATTATTTGGAAAACTAATTATTAGTTGAAAATTGGAATATAATAATGATTTGAATACACTGAAGCTGTAAATGGATTCCCTCAGTTGGAATTAAAAAAAGCCACGAAAATAAAATTAATCTATATTCCATTCTAAAATAACAAAAGAATTAACATTACAGTGATATCACTAATAACATACAAACAATGTATTAACCCAATAGTAGCAGCAAGGAACTTTTGAGTAGAAAGGGATTAAATGAGCCTTTGGCTGGAGATTAAGCTAAGGAATTGTTTGGCTGGCTCATTTTGTGGGATAAATTCTAAAATAGAGAAATATATAATAGCTAATGAAGGTAAATAATAATAAAAGGTAGTGGGGTATATTTTCTCATTGATTCAAATACCAAAAATGTCCATGAGTGAAAACATCAGTTTAGATATTTTTTTTTACTTTTGATGAAGATATTTTCAGGAATTTGATGGTTCAAGAACACTTAGGTATGGTAATTGTCATTATATAATCACTACATTTGATAATTTTGAACAAATTAGATATTCAACTGACAACTGGAAAGTGATTGGTATTAGTGAGTAGAATTTTACAGCATTGGTAATGTGGCCTTTGTTACTCATCATTCACACAAGTAATACGAATAGCAACATCTTGTTGCTATCAAATTAGTACTAATGTAAAGGTTAAAATTCAATGGTTAGAGGTGATATCAAGAATGTTTTAATTACAGGTATTTAGATATGCTCAGTAAATGATCTGGATTACAAAACTGTTTTAGCATGAATAAGTGTAAAGAACCAGTAACATGGCTGAAAGAAGTATTAGGATTGAAGAGAAAACAGAATTTTGGTGTGTAACCTTTTGTAAGATGTTTTGCTTCCTGTTGAGTAAACTAAAAAAAACAGTATAAGAAGTGTTATAAACAAAGGGAGTAATTATACTGTCTTTGTTTTATATAAAATATTACCTTTTTAGGATACCCCATTAAAGCTTTCTTTCATTACAGAAAAAATTGTTTCATAAAGAGAGATCTGAAACAAACTATTAGATGGATTACCACTTTCAAAGACAAATCACTAACTTTAAGTACTTTAATCTCTTAGTAACAAAGTAGAATTATGAATGAATATGATTGATATGTTTGAAAATGCAGGGGAATTAGATAAACTCCATTCTTATAATCTCTATATACTTCCCAGTATGCAACTAATCTTTATTGTACTATCATATATTTTTCTGCTTTAAAACACAATTTTCTTTCTTTCATTCTTGGAAAACATCCAAAATATATTCAATTTTTTGTGTTTCTTTAACATTAGAACAAAACATGCTCATATTAGAAATATTCTAAACTAACAACCTGACAAGTCCTCTTTACCTTCTGCTATTAAAACACATTAATGACCAATATCACAATTTAAACTTTGCTTAACAGTTTTAGGTGTATCAGTCCTTAGTGCGACAATGTGACTAAACTGCAGATTGATAACCACTCAATAAGTGCTTGAACTGGATTTCAGAAGGCAGGGGGACTCCGTAAATATAATAAATGTACATTACATTAGTACTCCCCCTCCTCTCTCACACACACACACACCACAAATTTAATTACCTCATTGATTTACTTACCAACTGGACCAACATTAATAAGCTCTGACAATAATTTTGAATAAAACATTACAAACTGAAAACCAATTTCACCAATGGTTGAAGGAGAAAATAACTGGCACAAGGAAAAGAGTACAACTGTAGTTGTACACATGTGCTTACATTTAGACTAATCACTTGGTGAAATCTCACTACTGAAATGTTCCTTCATGCACATGACTAAAACTGATACTTATTTTTACAGTAGGAACAGTATTTCAATCCATTTACTCTCAATTCAAACATTGGATAACACCTTTTGTAACACACTTTCAAATATGTATCTGTAAATATAATTTAATTAGGAGCCAAGTCTTTAAGCTGACTATTTTTCTTTGTTAATAAATCAAGTGCAAATTAATAACATATCTACTTACCACCACCAGCAATTGTTGCTTTAATAAGGGAGTCCAATTCTTCATCTCCTCTAATGGCCAACTGAAGATGTCTTGGAGTTATTCTCTTTACTTTGAGATCTTTACTTGCATTTCCAGCTAATTCTAAAACCTAAAGTATGAAAATAACACAATGAACAGAACATAGGACAGAAACAGATGAGCCAAACAGAAAAAATTAATTGAAATGTAACATCTCGTATATGCAGAATATGATACAGTGTTCTTCCACTTACTAATGAGATGTAAAAACTGGTTTTGTAACTCTAATATTTTTCTTATTAATCTTTGATTATCAATGGAATATTCTACTTAATATTCACAAATTTGACACTGTTTGATAAACATTACCATGTATGCACCGAATAACTAAATTTAGTTTTGTTTGCCAAAATGTCTGACAGCTATTTCTCTGTACATGAATGTCATGGTTAGACTCTTTACCGACAGATTATCTAAAAGAACCGTAATTGACAAAGGAAATATCTCAGTACCTGGAAAAAAACTTAGACATTTATTATTTTCTGAAATTAGCTAAGATTTAAAAATGCCAAAAGCAATATTTATTATCAAATCACAATGAATATTCCCTAATTCCTTTTATAAAACAAAATTGTTTTACCTACAACTGGTACTTTCAATTGATTTGTGCAAGTGTGAAAGAGTATACTTTGAATGAAGTTATAATGAACTTTTAGTGTCACAACTTTCCTAATCCTAGTTAAGCCAGGAATATACCTATATATTTCCAGTGTTTCACCACTATAATTAAAATATTAACACAATTATGTTATATCCAAAATCATATATACCACATAATTAGACAAATCTTGGTAAACATAAGCACACACCACAAATTTAAAATTACACAGTCTAAAGTTCAATACAAGAAATAAGCACAGGAAAATGTTCATATACACACAAGTGACAGAAACATCACAACAAAGTAAGGCAGAATTACAGTGATGCACACTTATTCTGTGCTAGTAATACACCAATACACCATTGTAGTTATATAGCTTATCCCACTCATCAGTTGTAACCACCTAGAGTTAAAAGTATTTTATAAAAGCTCAAGTTAATTATATTAACATTTGCTCAAAGCACGCTATC